ACACATATACATATATATGTGTGTATATATGTGTGTGTGTATATATATATATATATATAAATCATTGTGTATAATTACCAAAGGATCCCTGGTAGCACAATGCTTAGCTACTAACCAAGAGGTCAGCCATTCAACTCTACCAGCTGCTCTGTGGGAGAAAAGACCTACCAATCTGCTTCAAAAAGATTATAGCCTAAGAAACTCTAAGGGACAGGTCTACTCTGTCCTCTTGAGGCACTGTGAGTTGGAATCAATTCGATGGCTGTGGGTTTGGTTTGGGCTTTTCTTTTGTAAAGATTGACAACCTTGGAAACCCTATGGGGCAGTTCTACTCTGTCCTCTAGGGGTGCTGTGAATCTGAATTGACTCAGTGGCAGTGGGTTTGGTTTAGGCTTTTCTTCTGTGAAGACTGACAGTCTTGAAACCCTATGTGGCAGGTCTACTCTGTCCTCTAGGGTGTTGTGAGTTGTAATCAACTGTAAGGCAGTGGGTTTGGTTTGGCCTTTGCTTCTGTAAAGATTACAGCCTTGGAGACTGTATGGGGAAGTTCTCCTCTGTCCTATGAGGTTATTATGAATAGGAATTGACTTGATGGCACATGGCAACTACAACCATAGTATGCTAATGTTTTCCTTGTTTTCTCAGATTGTGGCTGACAGATCTCAGAGCTATGGGCACCAGGTACCTGCTCCTCCTCTCAGGTGAGTATAACAAAGAACTCCCCATCCCTGGAATGCTAACTTTGTTATTCGCCTATATTTGGCACTTTCTCAAGAAATAACTGTTAGTCCCATTAGTATCTCTCACACTAAATCTCTTAGGTTGGGCTCCCCACCCCAAAGAAGACTCTGAGACAAGGACTTGGGTGTAAGGAATTAATTAGTGTGGTAATCCCAGGAAGCCCAGGTGAGGCAGGAAAGGGAGAAGAGAGTGGAGATTGTGGTCATGAGGGGTTAGGGCTGTGGGATGAAGCAATGGTGGCTCAGCAGCAGAACTCTTGCCTTCCCTGTGGGAGACCTGGGTTCTATTCCTGGCCTGTAAACCTTCTGTGCAGCCCTCACCCATCTTCCAGTGGAAGCTTGAGTGTTATTAGGATGCTGAATAGGTTTCAGTGGAGCTTCCAGACAAAAATGGACTTGGAATAAAGGCCTGGTCAGGGGATCAGAACAGAGTGAGCAAGCAGCAGAGGGATGCAGGTAAGGCGAGGGACCCAGGCCCCAACCCCCAAGTGGCAGGAAAGTGGAGGAGAAAGAAAAGGAAAGCCAGGGGATCCAGGACAGAGTGAGCAAGTGACAGGGATCCAGGTAAGGGGAGGGTGGAGAGGTTTTGAACAGCTAAGAGAGACAAACTTGTCTGTCAGTTTATCGTACTGTGGTGGCGTGTTGCTGTGAGGCTTGAGGCTGTGCCAGCAGTGTTCCAAATGCCAGTGGGGTTGCACATGGTGCACAGGTTTTGGCATAACTTTCACACTGAGACAGACTAGGAAATAGGAAGAGGCTATCCACTTCTCAAAGAATTGGTCAGGGAAAATCTTATGAATAACAGAGAAACACTGTCTGTTACATTACTAAGCAACTATATGAATAGCCTTGAAACACTGTCTGATACAGTGCAGGAAGACAAGCCACTTAGGTCAGCAAGCTCTAAAAATATGACTGGGAAAGAGCTGCATCATCAAAGGAGAACAAACCTTACTGATATGGATAAACTAAAGCTTTTGAGACCTCCATTTGCTAATGTGACACAACTCAAACTGAGAAATAGCAGCAAACATCCATTAATAATTGGAGCATGGAATGTACAAAGTATGAATCTAGGAAAATTGGAAGTTGTCCAAAATGAAATGGAACGCATAAAGATTTATATTCTAGACATTAGAGAGCTGAAGAAGACTGATTTGGGCCATTTTGAACCAGACAACCATATGATCTACTATGCTGGGAATGACAATTTGAAGAGGAATGTTGTGGCATTCATCATCACAAAAGGTATTTCAGGATCTGTCCTGAAGTACAATGCTGTTAGTAATAGGATAATATCTATATGCCTGCAAGGAAGACCAGTTAATACAAATATTATTCAAATTTATGCACCAACCACCAAAGTCAAGATTTTTATCAACTTCTGCAGTATGAAATTGACCAAACGTGCAATCAAGATGTGTTAATTATCACTGGTAACTAGAATGCAAAAGTTGGAAACAAAGAAAAATCATGAGCAGTTGGAAAATTTGGCCTTGGTGACAGAAATAATGCTGGAGATAGCATGATAGAATTTTCCAAGACCAATTACTTATTCATTGCAAATGCCTTTTTTCAACAACAAAAACAGCACCTATACAAGTGGACTTCGCCAGATGGAATACAAAGGAATCATATTGACTACATTTGTGGCAAGAGGTGATGAAAAAGCTCAATATCTTCAGTCAAAACCAGGCGAGGAGCTGATTGTGGAACAGACTATCAACTGCTCATATGCAAGTTCAACAAGTCCACGAGAGCCAAAATATGACCTTGAACATATCCCTCCTGAATTTAGAGACCATCTAAAGAATAGATTTGATGCATTCAACACCAATGACCAAAAACCAGAAGAATTGTGGGATGACATCAAGAACATCATCCATGAAGAAAGCAAGAGGTCATTAAAAAGATGAGAAAAAAAGAAAAGACCAAAATGGATGTCAGAAGAGACTCTGAAGCTTGCCCTTGAGTGGAGAGTAGCAAAAGTAAATGGAAGAAATGACAAAAGAACTGAACAGAAGATTTCAAAGAGCAGCTCGAGCAGCCAAAACCAATTACTATAATGAAATGTGCAAAGACTTGGAGTTAGAAAACCAAAAGGGAAGAATGCGCTTTGCATATCTCAAGCTGAAAGGACTGAGTGAAAAATTTAAGCCTTGAGTTGCAATATTGAAAGATTCTATGGGCAAAATATTGAATGATGCATCAAAAGAGGATGGAAGGAATACACAGGGTCACTGTACCAAAAAGAACTGGTCCATCTTCATCCATTTCAGGAGGCAGCATATGATCAAGGACCAATGCACTGAAGGAAGAAGTTGAAGCTGCACTGAAGGAATTGGTGAAGAACAAACCTCCAGGAATTGAAGGAATACCCATTGAGATGTTTCAAGAAACAGATGCCCCACTGGAGACACTCACTCGGTTATGCCAAGAGATTTGGAAGAGAGCTACCTGGACAACTGACTGGAAAAGATGCATATTTGTACCCATTCCAAAGAAAGATGATCCCACAGAATGTGGAAATTATAGAATATCATTAATATCACACACAAATAAAAATCTTACTGAAGATAATTCAAAAATGGTTGTAACAGTATATTGACGGAGAACTTCCAGAGGTGCAGGCTGGATTCATAAGAGGACGTGGAATGAGAGATATCATAGCTGATGTCAGATGGATCCTGGCTGTAAGCAAATAATGCCAGTAAGATGTTTACTTGTGTTTTATTGACTATGCAAAAGCATTTCATTGTGTGGATCATGACAAATTGTGGATAACATTGAGAAGAATGGGAATTCCCAGACACTTAATTGTATTCATGAGGATCCTGTACATAGACCAGGAGGCTGTCAGTCGAATGGAACAAGGAGACACTGCATGGTTTAAAATCAAGAGGGGAGTGTGTCAGGGTTGTATTCTTTCCCCATACTTATTCAATCTGTATGCTGAGCAAATAATCTGAGAAGCTGAACTATATGATGAAGAACATGGCATCAGGATTGGAGGAAGAATCATTAATAACCTGCGAAATGCTGACCACACAACTTTGCTTGCTGAAAGTGAGGATGACATGAAGCAGTTACTGATGAAGATTGAGGAATACAGTCTGCAGTATGGGTTACATCTCAATATGAAGAAAACAAAAATCCTCACAACTGGACCAGTAAGCAGCATCATGATAAATGGAGAAAACATTGAAGTTGTCAAAGAATTCACATTGCTTGGTTCTACAATGGACGCCAATGGAAGCAGCAGTCAGGACCTCAGATGACATGTTGTTGTTGTAGTTATGTACCGTCAAGTTGGACCCGACTCATAGCGACCCCTCCTTGGGTTTCCGAGGCAGTATCACTACGGAAGTAGATTGCCCCATCTTCCTTCCAAGGTGTGGCTGGTGGGTTTGAACTGCCAGCCTTCTGGTTAGCAGTCAAGTGCCTTTTGGCACTATGCTACCAAAACTCAGATGACAGCACTGGGTAAATCTGCTGCAAAAAGCTCTTTTAAGCACTGAGGGGCAAAGATGTCTCCTTGAGGACTAGGGTACATCTGACAGAAGCCATGATATTTTCAATCGCCTCATATGTATTTGAGAGCTAGACAATGAATAAGAAAGACCGAAGAAGAGTTGATGTTTTTGAGTTGTGGTGCTGCCAAAGGATGCTGTGAATACCATGGACTGCTAGAAGAACTAATCAATCTGTTCTGGAGGAAGTACAGCTGGAATGCTCCCTGAAAGCAAGAATGGCCAGACTTTGTCTCACCTACTTTGGTCATGTTGTCAGAAAGGACGATTCCCTGGAGAAGGATGTCATGCTTGGTAATGTGGAGGGTCAACGAATGAGGGGAAAGCCCTGAACAAGATCGATTGACACAGTGACTGCGGCAGTGCTCAAGTATAGCAGGGATCACGGAGTTGATGCAGGACCAGACGGTGTTTCATTCTGTTTTGCATAGGGTTGCTATGAGTTGGAGACAATTCAATGGCGCCTGAGAAAAACACATCAACTTCCAAAAATTATCCATTGAAAACCCTATGGAATGCAAAGATCTGATCCCATTTGCATGGAGTTGCCACGAGTCAGGGGCTGGCTCAGTGACTGCTAAAAATGATATATTTCATGTAAGTGGGATCATACACTATTTGTCCCTCTGTAACTGATATCATTTACATGTTTCTAAGATTCATCCATGTTGTAGCATGTATCAGAACTTCACATTATATTTCTAATAGACAGTGCCAGGTTAGAGGTCTAGACTAGTAAAGATGTTGGGTGCCACTGAGTCCATTCCTCCTCACAGCTACCCTGTGTGACAGAATAGAACTGCCCTGTAGGGTATTCCTGGCTGTAATCTTTATGGGAGCAGATTGCCAGGTCTTTCTCCCACTGGTGGGTTTGAACCTCTAACTTTTTGGTTATCAGCCAAGCACTTAACCAGTGTACCACCCGGGCTCCTTGGTAACGATCTACTGTTGAGTATAGAAAGGAGACCAGTTTTTTTTTTTTTTTTTTCAGTGCTAGACTTGGAAAAAATGCTGAAATAGCTGCTAGAATGTCAGCAATGGGGGCACAAAGCTGCAGCCCCATGTTCCACTCATTCCTCAGGACTACATGATGCCCTGCGTTTTAGCTCTTCTGGGAGGGTGTGCACAGGAGCTCTAGTGGCATAGTGCCTAAGGCATTTGACTGCTAACCAGAAGGCTGGTGGTTCAAACCACCAGCCACTCCTCAGAAGGAAAATTAGGCAAGCTACTTCCGTAGAGATATATAGGCTTGGAAACCCAAGGAGGGGTCGCTATGAGTCGGATCTGACTCAACAGCAGTGAGTTTGTTTTTTTGGCTTGGAAGGTTGTGCAGTGAAGCTAGCATGTTGCGCAGCAGAAGAAAAGGCCTATAATCAGAGCTCTGGGCATGCCCCATCTGAACTGTCCCCTCTTTTCTCTGTTTCAGGTCTCAGTGTCCTGGTGGCTGTGTCAGAATCAAATTCAGATGGTGAGTCTACTTACAGCCGAAGGCCAAGGGCAAAAGCATGGGGCTCTGGAATCTGCCTGTAGGAGGAGCCCTTTGCAACTGAGTCCCTGTTGCATTCTGCATACCCCTTTGGGTTCCCAAGGACTGATTTCCTCTTCACCACCATCACCTTCATCACTCCATTTATGTAGCACTTATGTTGCCTTGCACCCCATACTAAGTAAACCCTTTGGAGAGGAGTCGATTCTGACTCATGGCGACCCCAAGTGTTACAGAGTAAACTGTGTCTCTGAGGATTTTCTTGGCTGTCCTCTTTATGGAGGGAGCCCTGGTGGAACAATGGTGAAGAGCTCGACTGCTAACCCAAAGGATGGCAGTTCAAATCTACCCAGCAGCTCTGCAGAAGAAAGACCTGGTGATCTACTCCCATAAGATTAAAAAAAAAAAAAAAAAATCACTGCCATGGAGTCAATTCTGACTCATAGTGACCCCCATTAGGTTTCCAAGGCTGTAAATCTTTACTGAAGCAGCTTGCCTCATCTTTCTCCCATGGAGCAGCTGGTGGGTTCAAACCATTGACCTTTTGGTTAGCAGCCAAATGCCTTGACCATTATACCATGAGAGCTCCTCCTGATGGCCAAGAAAACCCTATGGCACAGTTATACTCTGTCACATAGGAGGTTGTTGCGAGTCTGAATCAACTCGGCAGCAGATAACGATACTCTTTATGGAAGCAGATCATCAGACTTTTCTTCGATGGCACTTCTGGGAAGGTTCACACTGCCCATCTTTAGGCTAGTAGTCAATTGCAAACATCTTGTGCCACCCAAGGACCTCTAAGCAAATCACATGCATCATTCCATTTAGTCCTCATAACAGTCCTACAAAGAAGGTCTTGACATTGTCCCCACTTGATCAATGATCCTTGAGAGAAGTGGCTGGCTCCAGTCACACATCTGGTGGGTGTCAAGATTCTACCCTTTCTTTCCCCAAAGCCTGCACCCCAAGTCATCCTGGGAGGTACTTTGCCTTTACCACCTATCTTAATTAGGCCCCCTCAGAGATAAGGACTTTGGAGCCAGTTGTTTATCTGGAAGTGATCCCTAAAGCAGCAGATGAGAGGGGAAGTGAGATAAGAAGACCAGTTACCAGTTGCCATGAGTCAGGGTCAACTTGTGTGTCAAGAATAGAACTTTGGGGGAGTTCCGGCAAGATGGCGGACTAGGCAGAGGGACTGCACAGACCCTCTTCAACAGAGAAAAGGGAAACCAATTAGCACAGACACAGAAGATAATCTTGGACCCCTGAGCCTTGAAGGGAAGGATACAAAAGTGGACTAAACCCCAACTAGCAGAAGAATCTGCATGAAAATACCAAAAAAGGAGACACATGGAGCTGCGGTCTGGCAGCAACCTGAGTGACCCTGAC